ATTCACCCAAAACAAAAAATCATAATTTGTATCAACTCTGGTACACGATGACCTCTGCATCAGGTATTGAAATCCTGGAATTTCCGTCAAGGCAATCCAATAGCCAGTACCGTGGAATCAGTTAATTAAAAAGGTGATTATGGTATAAGCGCATTCATAGGCGTTCGTTCAGTGAATCTGTGAAGGCAGTGTAAAAGCTACGTTGTCAAACATTACCAGATTATGTACTATACAACCGATAACACCACACAACAAAAAAGAAATAGCATCAGGTAGGTTGATGCAGTATTTTAGATGTAGACGTATAGATAATTTAAGATTAGATTCATGTGAAAATGATTAAGGTATTGACGAACGATTATGGAAATCTATAGTCACTTTTAACACCTTCGCCGCGTAAAATGTGGTTACATGTAGTCAGGGGCCAAGGGGGTTTTTAATTTTTTTGGCCTGAAAATTGCTTTAAATGATACTAAAAGAGAGATATACTCGTATATTGTGATTATCGAATATTTTATTACCTGAATACAAATATTTTTTGGTCGCCAGATGGCGACACTGGCACTACAGGTAGAATTTAGGACAAACCGCGTACGTAAGAGGTCTCAAAAATGTCTAACCTGTATGCCTATATTCACCTGTCCGACTATACTAGCGAGCCACCTGAACCATAGCACCATAGCACCATATACTAATAGATCACATGCGTCGCTCTATGGCGACGGAGGCACAACAGTCTAGACTTAAGTGTCGCCAATAGGCAGCAGTGGCGTGAATGTGTTAATAGCATATTACCCTACCACTTCCGCAATTTGGGAATATTAAGTTGAATCTAAGTGGATGATCTGCAGTTTGTTGTTATATGATGGATACCCTTAACAAATTAGGGTCTAAAGGATATGAGAAGCCAGATGAACAATAGCTCAAAAAATTTGGGGTTATGACATAGTAGACCCAGAAACTTGATGTGGTGTGACTAGAACAAGCCTAAAGCAGTCTATTAACGAACGGACGAAGCAAAGCTTCGATGTAGCCGAAATAGGTTACTAAAGAACGGATGCCCGTATCGTCAGTCGTCCCTACAATTGTAGGGCGCCTCTATGGCCTCCTTGATTGTCATAGTTTTCTATTTTTCCGTGTCAGCGCTCGTTTTTGAGGTTATGTCACAAATATCTATTTGCATCAAATTGTGCTTGTTTTTGAGTTATATCATGTTTTATAGCGCTGACGCTGACACGGGACAAGTGTAATCTAGAAATTTTTGAAGGTGAGAAAGGAGTATGACAATCAAGGAGGCCATAAACGCGCCCTACAATGGTAGGAACGACTGACGATACGGTCCTAAGTGCAAAGAATTGCTTAGATTTAAGTATGAATGTCATATAAGGAATATGGAAGGCGTCATATAAGGACATGATCACTTAAACTATAAGGTTAAAGGCTCTCGAACCTAGTGGAAGAGATTGTGTGCAATTTGTTCAGAGAGCACAATCCGATGAACACTAAAGATGGGATTTAGTAAAACTCTAAGAAAAGTTTGTTGGCTATGCCCTAAAAAGATCATCGACAGTTTAGAATACGTAAAAGATTATTTACCATATACTGTCGCTACTATAATATATAAAAATTAAATTGAAGCTATTTTGCTGTGTTGCAGAAGCAATGATTTCAGAAAATACGTGGAGAATTTAAGAAAAAAATATATCGACAAATTTTATAAACGAATTACATATTGAGGGTGAATGAATTATCGACTGAGATGCAAAACATTTGTTGTGAAACTTTTTATTATGCGTCAAAGGTGAAAATATCACAGGTATATTAAAAAAATGAATTCAGCCTGAAGATGAGATGCAAGGAATGACAAGTCATTAAAAATTAGACGTAATATTATGCTCAATTTACAAGTGATCAATTTAAAAAAGCCAAGCATCTGCAGGTTTCACATTTATTTTTCACCGAAAGTGCATAACAGTGCATTTGAAATACTCGTAATTTACATCCAAAATAACTTTAGTCAAAACCCATCAACAGTTTTTGAAAGTTACTAATAGTACTATTTTTTGAGTTGAGTTGTGTTCTTTGACGAGCTTTCCAATAATGTAGGTACGGCTTTAAACTGAAGATATATTCAAATTTCTTTCTGAAGGTTTTTTCATGTTGTACTTCTCTAGTTTTTTTTGTCGTTTAAGAGGATTCTGATTATTTGACGGGTAAAAGAATTGGGGAGTGAGTTGTTGCAGGGGAGGGATGGGAGGGTGTAGCACTTTTTTTGGAGTATATTAATAAACTTCAAATCCCCATAATTCTCCGTATCTATTAGACATATTTCACATATCATAGATTGTAACAATCAAAAAATGCTTTCGACTAGCATCCCTGCATGTGCAGACTTCAACGACCACGGCCGGCGTGTTGGTGTTCGTATGTGTCCTGCATGACTGCTGCACTGTGGGCGCTCTGCCGCGTATGACGCATCATGTTTTCAGATGTTTGGATGAGGTAACGTGACGTTGCCAGATTGATACTACTACGGATAGCCACTATCCTCTATCCGGGATATATCCATATCTATCCAGGTCTATCTTATGTTGCACATGACCTTTTATGGACTGATGACGGCGTTGCGTGGGAATTACAGACTCAACCTACTTGACATCATTTTTCCTTTTATATTCAAACAAAAACTATGTAGAAAGCGCATCGGCGACACAGACGTCGATTTTCACCCAGATTCACTTTTTTATTCTTATACAATACTTATTCTCATTGAAACTCGTGATGGTCATGGTTAAGCCAACGGGCGCCTCTCTCGCAATCGGTCTATTATATGCGCCTACGTCATTGTGGGAATTCTGAAGATAGCCCAGTTCTGTTGGACATCGTATAAACTGTTATGAAGGGTAGAGGCAAGTCTCCATTTTGTTAGCGATTAAAAATAGTAAAAGCATATAGCAGCATTTGGTTTGTATTGTTAAGTATGATTTAGTCTAAGCGATCATAAAAAATAGTTAAAAATTAGCATAATTTCAAAAACCTTATATACTCCTAATTTGGAAATTAACAGACAAAATCGAACCCAGAGTACAATTGCTAATCATCAATTAAGACTTTGTTCTTAGGCAATGATACAGAATTATACTAATTTAAAATCGATGATGGACACTTTTTTTCCTACTACCTGCCCATATTCATCGATATAGAAGATCTCCATTTTCTTTTATTAGTTCTTCTCATTGTGCTTGAAAAGTTATTCCCATAGCAACTGTGTGACTAAAACCGAAAATCTGTTTATCTAATAAAATTTCAAATCATACATTAAAATACACTAATTTCGCTAGAACAACAAACCCAGCATCTTGTCATTTCAGAAACTATACAGGGTGTCCGCAAAGTTGGGGTTTTCCTTTTCACAAACAACTACCCTTGAAATAACAAAGGTAATGTTTAGTGAAACGAGGGCGACCAAGTAAAAAAAAAATAAAGGAAAAAGTACTCACTCTCCAGTTGACGAGAAGGGCTAAGTACGTCTCTGCCCGAAATCATACCGCTCCAACAGAAAATGAAATCAGCTGATGCGCTACCGAGCAGACGCAGGCAAACAAGGAAGGCAAAATGTTTCGTAAAAAGTCTAGGTATTGCATCCCGTCCAATCGATTAGGGAGAATAAATGGTCCAATGAGCATACCGTTCACCATGCCAGCCCAAACATTCACCGAAAATGTTTGTTGAAAATGTGCCCGACGGACAGCGTGCGGATTTTCTACTGACCAAACATGAGTGTTGCGAAAGTTATTCACCCCATTACGCGTGAACGTAGATTCGTCTGTCACCAATATGCACTTCAAAAAGTCCGGATTATTGTCATGTTGATGCAACAACCACTCACAAAACCGCACTCTTGCTGGAAAATCGTCAGGTTGAAGGGCGTGAAACGGATACAGCCCCTCTTCACGCAGCGTTTGCCACACTTTAGTTTTTGATACTTGCACTTCTCTAACCACGTCTCTAGTGCTTGTTGAAGAATTCACGTCTACGCGATTATCTCTACACGCGTGACCGTAACCGTCGGTTGAAGGTTGCATACTGACCTGACACACTGACCCCGACCCCCGACCCAGTTCTGTCGTCGGGTTGAGCTAGTGTCCTAGTACCACTGGGGGATGTCGCGGCTACAGGACGGTATTCAGATATTTTTGATGTTGCAGAGCCCTTTATCTCGGTTCCCTTAAGACATTGGTGTATATGGTACTACGAAAAATTGCTTATGTTTTCAACATCTACACGTCGTGTAAAGGAAAACCCCAACTTTGCGGACACCCTGTATATGTAGGTATAAATGCCTACTTGCAAATATTAGACAATGCAGAGCCAGTGAAGCCAGAGTTTCGCTTTAGCCGAGTGAGTGGTTTAGGCGATTGATAAAATTTTAAAACATTTTTTTTCAGGGGCAAGGCACATCCTAAAAATCCCCAAAAGTGTACACAAAATCATACTAAATATGCAAATTTTAAAGTCCAACCCCTGATGTCGCCCATGTTTAGGTGTCTGGAGTCCCGGGAATTTATTATGGATCGTATTATGTAGGAGGAATGCAGCAGAACTCTCCGAGCTTATAACTGAATCAAATGGATCCACAATTATAGGGAGATAAACCTTTTTATTTTTGTTATGAGCGCAAACACAAACTTTTTTATTTATGTTTTGTGTCTCTGTGTATTTTACCATAAATTTGTGATAAACACTTGTCCCGATTAAGCGCCCCTATAGTAGGTTAAATATTCGAAAATGAGTGTGTTCTGATGAAAAATGCCAAAATTGCGTACTTTGGGTCTTTAAAAAACAATCAGGTTCTTAGAAAAAGAAAAATGTTGATGAAAGTTTAAAGCACGTATGTATATGCTCTTAAATATTTATGTAAATGCAAACATTGTATACATGCGATAAAATTTAAGTTATTTTCAGGGGCGAGAATACCCCTCTTCTTTCATTTTTTCATGAAAATTACGATGGCGGAACGGTGAATATTCACAGCAAATGTTACCACAAATTGGATGATAGGTACTGTAACAATAGGTACTTTAACAAAATGTTTTAAGACACGACAACGTGTATGTAATTATACATTATTATAAATGTCACTTTCCGTAACTTAAAATAATTATAATTTGGTATACATACAACTTTGTCTGTACTAACAACTGGATGGGAAAGTGTTTTGCACCATCCGATCTGGGTCGACCATACATTAAACTTTCTCATCGGTATGCTTCTTTCTCTGATACCAGTTTGTTATAGTGCATACAACAGTGTACATCAACAAATGAAACAGTTCAGCAGTGTGTAGGATATATGTACATAGTTTTTCAGGTACTATTTCTCATATAATAACTGGAACTAAAAGACTTTACTGTAGGATTTGGTTGATCTAAAAGAGTACTTTAGTGGTCTTATTGACCGGGATCCCATTTGTTTTCAAGGTTATAAATACTACTTCAGGATTTTAAATAAAGGTGACGAGTAGGTCTAGGTCTAACAATAATCGTTTGTTTGTCGTTCTACCAATCAGCTTCACTCTAGTAAACAATATGACGAACGTTGTCTTGGAGAATCTAGATCCTTCAAAAAATCAGCGATCAGGTTTGATTCATGACTTGAGACAGCGGCGGTAGCCAAATCGGGGTGGTAATCGTTGAGAATGAATTAGAATTAGATGATCAGATTCCAGATTACTGATTGGTCAAGCTCACATTTGTTTGTTTACAACCTATCAAGCATGGGGTCCTTTTCTTCTTCAACCTGTGGTAGAATTGGACTCCAGAGGTTGTGTATTCTTTTAGTATCTTGGCATATTTTGCTGGATGTTTCCACATTCACTGTTTGTTAAGAACTACAGAATGCGTATCCGTTAACAAATGGCGACACTTCGTGGGTAGTGCCTAGGAATAGTGACACATATAGAACTCGAGTTTATGTATCGGGTGGGCCCCCTAGGTTTTAGGTCCCGGAGGAAGGGGGGTAATGGGGGCGCACAGACAAAAACATTATGGGGTCGTAAAACGTAAAAACGTAAAAAAACTTAAAATGACATCTTGCAGACAATGTAGCTTTTAGCGTGCAGAGTCATTCCACGTTTGCTCTCTAGGATCGTTGTGAGCGTCCATCTATGAGGAATGACTCAACTATACGCACTGTTGGTTGCATATGTTTTGTGAAGCCGAATAGTCTGTAGTTTTCATCTCTGGGAAGAAAGTTGGTTGAATAGCAAAATCGCATCTGGATGATTATGAGTATTGGCCTGCATGTTTATAACATCAGTGATATTTTGCTGTGTGAGAAAATAATTACTGAATATGCTGCCAATGAAGTATATCTATTAGCTGTGCCCGACGGGTCATTTATATGTTGTCCTTTCTGAGTACACGTTATGTTCAAAGTTAAAAATTACGATTTTTTTGTGTTTTCAAAAACTTTGAGGAGAATTACGGGAAATCATCACCGCGCCCGCGTTGTGCGTAATTGCTATTAGCATGTATATGACTTGCAATTCGACAGTGTACAGTGAATATAATTATTTCTTATCTCTCTCAAAAGTGGATGCGCAACTAATTTCTAGCTTTGAATCTCAAGTAAGTGTATTTGAGACAAGAATCTAATGGAATTATCATCAACTCGTAATATTAACACACAAATCCTCACTATGCATTGCCGCTTCCTTCTAGCTATAGTATACAACTTACGGCTTAGACCTCCAGTAAAGCCATCTCTGAAGCAGCAGATTTCACATTAGAGCCAAACATTGATAACTAAAGCATCATGACGGTTAGGCAACACGAACAACTTCAAAATGAGTTCACAAGTGTTCTTCAGCTAGTGCTAGGTTAACATCTCGTAGAAAAACGTACATTATGTCACAAAAAACCAATACAATGTCAAAAGAACGACATAATGTCACTTTTCATGATTCGTAATACTGGTGCCGACGTAAAAAACATTCAAGATCCAATTAGATTAGACGGTTTGAGGGATGAACTTTTAGTTTTGTTTCTATTCCAGAATTTCGGAGTGTCGTGTCATTTTCTACTTGTCTGAGGGAATTAACTATCCGAAATGGTAGCAGAAATAATATCTTCTATGTTGGGATGTTTTGAAGAGCAAAAAAAATCACACGCCACTTCTTATCCAACGATTAGGTATCTTATTAAGAATATTTCACTTTGAAGCACAAGCCAGAGGGGGGCATATGCCCCCCCCCTTGCCCCCTCCCCAATGGGCGCCCATGCCTAGTACCCTACATTTAAAGCCCTTACAAATATTTCATCGCTGTTAGAATATCCAAACCGAAGGTCCGTAGCCATCAGTTCCAAATCATCACAATTCCCAAGCCTTAAACATGTGAATAACGTATCGACGTGCAAATTTTGGGATGGATAAATAACCTGCAGATCAGACGTTTACAGAATATTTTTGGACTTCTCCCTTACGAAAGCTATAGCTACGTCCACCACGGCGAAATAATAGTTCACCTAAAAGTTAGTAACTTCGCCCAGAACGTGATCAGTATTTTGTACTGTTCGCTCCCCCTCTTATACACGCCAATGCATTGGAACCCGACCTTTCTCGCTTGAGCAGAGCGATCAACTGAAATTGTTTACATTTATTGTTAGTCTTTGCTTTGGTCTGTTCAAATGTCGTCACGCGCAATGTCAAACTGTAGCATTTTAGTGCTTTTGAAATACAGCAATACCATTTTCTCGAAAAAAAAAATGGCAGATTTGGGCTCACTCCCCTCATCTCCTCTAAGTCCACTCTTGAAAAAATTTTGAAAGCGAGAAAAGTATGAACGAGATGTCTATATGTAACTATAGCCAACCATATAAGTCGACCTGTGGGTTGCACATTGCGAAAACCTGGTAAACATTCAACAAACAAGATCTCGGAATTGAATGAAATTCATTACCTATTTAATATCTTAAATAATGAGTTGACGATAGAAACAGAAGTCTGCTTGGAATACTTCTACCGTGACAGATTACACTGATCAACAGCCAAAAAATATCCTAAATAAAATCAACAAAATATTACTATTTTTAATCTGCTAAAACCGGAATGAAACTTATTTTTTCAATATTAGTTCAAGTTTTAGAGATACGGTAATTATATGTGTTCCTGCTGTGACAGTGCTAATATACTGTAATTCACAAGAATTTCACAGGAAAGATGATGTAATCGGCATGATTGTGTTACGTTATACATACGTGTACATTATATTGTTTTATATTAGCCATTTTTTCCTCAGTTGGCTGACAGCGTTCATGCAAGATGTCTCGAAAGTGTGTAAACAATCCAGATCAGTTTTGTTACGTGTGTGGTGATGTGACTTTTGCGTCTCAGAGACGGTCTATTAATCCACTAATAACAAAGGCATATCAGCTTTATTTCGGTTGTAAACTAGGTGATCAAGACAAACAGTGGGTACCCCACATCTGCTGTAATACATGTGCTTCAAGTCTGAGGCGCTGGTTAAATGGCAAAAAACGGTCTATGCGCTTTGCTGTCCCAATGGTTTGGAGAGAGCCTACAAATCATATTAATGATTGTTACTTTTGCATGGTACCTTGTGTTGGACAAGCCACAGGTATGTCCAAGAAAAAAAAATCGGTTATTAACTACCCAAACATACCATCTGCGATGAGACCTGTGCCTCACAGTGACGAAAATCATATTCCAAAACCCCCAGAATACTACATTTGCGAATCAGAAAACGAATCAGATCATGGCGATCGAGTGATTCGTCAGGAAGAAGATATGCCATCAACGTCAAGAGATCCTGATTTTATACCGAGCACATCATGCCACCAACCGCACAAAATAACACAGTCAGAATTAAATGATCTTGTAAGAGATTTAGAACTTCCAAAATGTAAGGCAGAGTTACTAGGATCAAGACTGCAGCAGTGAAACTTGTTAGAAGACGATGTTTCGGTATGTGTTTTTCGTAAACGCCACAAGGACTTAGAACCATTTTTCAATATGGAGAATAACTTGGTTTTCTGCAGTAACATTAACGGCTTACTGGCGGCTTTAAATATAAACTATAACCCAGAAGAATGGAGACTGTTTATAGACAGTTCAACATTGAGTTTAAAGGCAGTGTTATTGCATATAGGAAATATTTTACCATCTCTTCCTGTAGGGTATGCAGTTCACATGAAAGAGTCATATGACAATATGAAGTACCTATTGACATGCATAAAATACGATGAGCACCAATGGCATATTTGTGGCGATTTGAAAGTTGTTGCACTTTTACTTGGGCTGCAGCTAGGCTACACAAAGTTTTGCTGTTTTTTGTGTGAATGGGACAGTCGGGCAAAGGCACTTCATTACACCAGACAAAACTGGACTGTTCGTCAATTCCTAGAGCCAGGTCAAAAAAATGTACAGCATATGCCATTAGTAGATTCGAAAAAATTTTTTTTACCACCACTGCATATCAACTTGGGCCTAATGAAAAACTTTGTCAAGGCATTAGATAGAGATGGGTCAGCTTTTCAATACCTGCGTCAGAAATTTCCAAGACTAAGTGAGGCAAAGGTTAAAGAAGGTATTTTTGTTGGGCCACAGATTCGGAATATTTTGAAAGATACACAGTTTGAAAACAATTTAACAGGTATTGAAAAAACTGCTTGGAATGATTTCCGTCTGGTGGTCACTAATTTCTTGGGAAATAGAAAAGCTGACAACTATAAAACTCTTGTCAAAAATATGCTGTCATCGTATCAAAAGATGGGCTGTAATATGTCTCTTAAGATACATTTCCTACACTCACACCTGGACTTTTTTCCTGAGAATTGCGGAGCCGTAAGTGATTAGCACGGCGAACGTCTTCATCAGGATATTTCAACAATGGAAAAAAGGTACCAGGGAAAGTGGAATCCTTCCATGCTTGCAGACTACTGTTGGACTCTTGGTAGAGATGCTCCAGAAACGATCCATAAAAGAACAGCAAAAAGACAGCGCATATAGTGATTCTTATAAGTATATGAATCTTGTTACTTTTTTTAATATATCCTTAAAAATAAAAAGTTTTTTTTCTAAACCGCAACTAATTTTTTTATTTCATTGTCATTTTTGGATTCAGCGCCCCAAAATTAACAAAGAAGTGCACTTGTCCCACAAGATACAATTAAAAAACTAAAATTTGTTGTCCAGTGTTATTAAACTTGGTGTTTTTGGTGTATCATTCGACACTACTTAGTCATTTCTCATTAGTCCAGAGCCGCTTGTTTGTTTTCCGTTGTCTGTTTCTAAGACACGAACTGTACCGTACTAATGATTGCCAACAAGCATGAAACGGCATCTTATACAGTTGGTCATAGTCACAGAGGCGGAAAGCAAATAGATCCTCTTCAGCCTGTAGTTTGTCCAACTTTTTCACAGTATGCCACTGCTGATTGCCACCCTGGATTCTTGTTGATCCCTCTAAGACGACCTGTAGAGGATGTCCCTATCAGTGTTGGAACATTCAGTGACAGCATTTACCTTCTCGCGGAACCATTTGTTACTCGCGCGTCAAGATACTTAAGCCAAATAAGGGGATCCCCCAAAAAGTGAAGAAACGTCGATTCAAAGGGTTCCCTACACTATGCGGGAAGTAACGCTCAGGCATAAGACCGTGAGATGGGTGCTATTGTCGCTCGACATCAAAAAAGCTTATGGTCCGGACTTGATTCCTGCCGTTGTTTGAAGGAGTGTGCAGCGGAGCTTGCTCCAGTTCTTTCCCGTCTCTTCCAGATATCTTACGAATCCAGCACCTTCTCGGAAAACTGGAAATTTGCTCATGCCCAACCCATCCAGGAAAACGATGTAAAGCCGACCCTTACGGGTCTATTCCTCTGTTCATAAGTAAGATGATGGAGATGTGCATAAATCGGGAGCTTTTGGAGTACCTCGGCTTGCTTAGCAGTAGGCAGTATGGTTTCCGGCACCATCGATCCAAAGGGGACCTCCTAGCACACGTCACACAATTGTGGAGTAAACTCATCCAATCTTATGGTGAGGCTCACGTCGTTGCTCTTGATATTACGAATGCGTTCGATCAGCTGTGGCATCGGTCTTGGCTCCTGACACTGTTCCTCTCTTCCTACAAATGACCTCCTTTGCTGTGCGAACAATCCATTCCACAGCTTTGTCGATGACAACATTCTACATGCAGCGATTTCTCATGCCGAGAGGAGGTTATAACTGCTTCGGGATGCAACAATCATTTACAGTTTAATGCTTCCAAAACATTTTGATGAACAAAGAGCGCTCTAGCGCTCATCTGCTTTCGATGGCTGGCCGAGTTCTTACCGAAGAGCCGCTGCTTCTGTGTAAAAAAAACAACTATCCATTCGTCTCTAAATCTTCTTTTATCTATATGGCCATTCGAATTCCGTTTTAAATATGATGCATACACAGGGTTTGTCCGGAAAGTAATAGGACTCATTTTCTTCCGCCATGACTGTACTTCGGAGCATGCGCGCACCGACTGGATTCGGTAGAGGGCGTTCCTAGCTAACGAATGAGCGGCTGGTCAGTTGTCTCCGAGCACTTGGAGAGTCAGGACAGGCATTATCGCGTGACGTGTTTCTGTGAGTGGTGCAAGCCGAAAATGCAGCGTTCGTTAGAGAAGAGGTACGCGACCAAAATTCTGTGTGAAACTCGGTAAATCTGCGACAGAGACGTTTAATATGATCAAGCAGGCTTACCCAGGTGTTGCTTTAGCAAGAAGTGGTGTGTTTCGGTGGCACCAGGCCTTTTTGGAGGGCCGGGAAGAGGTCGCTGATGAAGACCGTGCTGGAAGACCTTCGACTTCGACAAACACCGATAATGTGACTCGTATGTGCAAAGTTTTGAACTCAGACCGTCGACTAAGTATTCGTTTAATTGCCCAAATGTTAAATTTACCAAAATCTGTGGTTCATGACATTGTGACACAGCATTTGAACATGAACAAGGTGTGCGCGAAGTTGGTCCCAAAAGTGCTCACTGACGACCAGAAATTGCGGCGAGTGGAAGTGTGCCAAGAAAATTTGAACATGTTTGAAAGTGACCCCCAATTTTTGAATAACGTAATCACAGGTGACGAGTCGTGGATCTTTGAGTATGATCCCGAGGCAAAGAGGTAATCTTCCGAGTGGCACACGACGGCGTCTCCTCGCCTAAAAAAAGGGAAGAATGAGCAAATCCAAAGTGAAAACGATGCTCATTGTCTATTTTGACATCAAAGGCATCGTCCACCATGAATTTGTTCCTCCTGGACAAACCGTCAACGCCAAGTTTTACGTGGAAGTGCTCAGGAGACTCAAACGAAGGGTCAGTCGGATCCGACAAGATATCGCAGCCGACTGGAAGTTGCACCACGACAACGCCCCGGCTCACACCGCCTTTCTTGTGAACAGCTACCTGACCAAGGCCGGCATCCCAATGCTTCAGCAGCCGCCCTACAGCCCAGATGCGGCCCCCGGACTTTTTTTTGTTTCCTCGCCTGAAAAGGCCGATGAAAGGCAAGCATTTTGAGACGACAGAGGGGATCTAAGCAGCATGCACCGCGGCTCTCAAGGCTATTCCGGAGAATGCCTTCCGTGACGCCTTCAATGCTTGGAAATTGCGCTGGCAGCGCTGCATCGACGCAGAAGGAGCCTATCTTGAAAGTTTTAAAAGAATTGTCCTATTACTTTCCGGACAAACCCTGTACGAGTATATGCTTTCATTTTCACCCTTAGAAGTGTTGTCACGTTGGCACAAAATACTTGCTTTATGGTATCAACGGGCTGAGAGTTCATTTTTAGGAAGGGGAGATATTAAAAAGCCCAATAACCTCTTCGAAATATTTCTCACGAATTTTGGTAGAAAACTTTTGGGTCAAGTCTACCATAAATCATTGTCTTGATAATAGTTTTATACAATTGGTTACTGGAACCACCATTACTTTTTTAAGCTTTTCAGTTATTTACGAATTTGTAAAATTGTTGTATGTATGTAACCATGTGTTATAATCGCCAAAATATCTGTTTTAAATGTTTTCGATCTAGTCCATTACACAAATGAAGATTTAATTCTAATTTGTTTTCAGTAAATATGCAGATAACCTTCGCTCTACTAGTGGTGATAGCAGCGGTTCTAAGGCCGTCCATACAAGAATGCTTCCCACAGTTCGCAGGGAACCAACCGAGTCGTCAAGGGAGGACGAATTTGTACTCTGGCCAACAGGAGTTTTCTCTAGCTTTGCTGCATGCTATTAATAAGGTTATGCCAGAACAGAATCTTTTCTTCTCGCCATATTCGACCTACCATTGTTTGTTGATCGCGTATTTCCTGACTGGAAACCAAACTGAAGGCCATCTGAAGAAAGTATTGAGACTAAATGAGAAAGAGGTAAATAACGTATACTTTAACTTATTTCGCATATCCGGTCTTTTACATTCACTAGACGATACCGAAATTTTTTAGTTACGGGCTGGTTCAGCAGGTTGAATTATGATAAAATATAAAATGTATGGTTAGGGTCTTTTTATCTTATTTTATCATATCAACTATAGGGTACATTAAATATCAGATAAACTTACCTTTGATGGAAGACAGCCCCAAAATTATTCTGCCAATGAGGACAATACTTTGTAGTTTTAAGAAATCGGTCCAGTGGCGGCGGTGCTAAGGGCAACAAAAGAAATAATAATCACCCAAACATCGTTTTTTGTCGCTTTGGAGGCTTCTAATTGTTTTAAGAAAATTTTTAGAGGGTTTGATTTGTTGAGGGTGGGGAAAGAATCAATTTTTGGCGGTAGTATATCGATACGCTTCCAACGCCGGTAACTTTACGCACCTATTATTATTACTTTGGCACTTCAAACTTAGAATCATGGAAACATATCTTGGACACTCGTCTCTCTGAGTTGACCGTCGTCGTAGTATTCCCCTTGAATGTTATTTCGTCACTGCCACGCTGCTGAGGCTGCCGAGTGGTTCATCGGGCGGTGAGATGAAAAAATATGTCAATGGACTAATCGTATGCGATAGTTTGACCTACTTGATCTGTTTAATTTATGTTTTACATGTTCATGGCTAACTTTTTTATCAAAGGGTCTAACTTCTGCCGAACAAAATCTTTTATGAACAAACTATAGTTTATATTTTGTCTTCTTACAATTTCCCAGAAAATCTGCTGGATTGCCTACATTAATTAAGAAGATCCCACTGACATTCTATAAATATAGTCAATGTACGTTTAAATATACCGAGTTTGGTACATTTCAGAACAAGGCTGACATCTATGGAGCTTACAAAACAGACAAGTTCCTCACCCAGCTGCTGGCGAGGAATGCATCTTACGAGTTTACAAATGCCAACAAAATCTACGTTTCTGACGGGATTCCCATCAACGAGTGTATCATCAATGACTTTCCAGAAGAACTAGAAAGGAAAAACTTCAAACAAGATCCAGAAAATGCCAGGTTGTCCATCAATCAATGGGTAGAAGCAACCACACATAACATGATCAAGGACTTGCTGCCAGCAGGTACCTTTTATAACTTTTACTACCAATCGTTGTTGTTTTCTTTTGAAACGGTGAATAATGAAATATTTGAAAATAAGCAATGGGAAATGACGCAGTTAAAGAATAATTGATAGGTATACAAAAACTTTTATACGCACTATACTTCTTTGATTCCAACTGTGCCTGTTAAATTGTATATTTAGAAATATTTGATAATCTGATGGAAATAGTGTGGTCGAAGGAACACTAAAGAACTAAAGTCCAGGCATTCGTTGACTTTTATGCAACATGAGACTGTGAGAAACTTCAAGAAGCGTAAACAGGATCAAGGGTGAATACATTCTTGTTCTGATTTTGTCATGAATGAATCTCGACGATCAATCAATGAACTAATGATCAAATTTTTACCGGAAGTAAATCAAAATCATAATTAGCTTTCTTGGAATTGTACGTTACGTGATTTAAGACTTTAGGAAATGGTGTATCCTTTATGGCAAATGGCTCCCGTCAAATGGGTTGAATATTTAGTATGTTGTTCCTCATACCAATCCGATTAAAAGCTTTCACTGACTAAATTCTAGTATCAACGGTTTGCGAGCTACGAAGTGAGCAGTCATATTAAATTCATAATCAGATAGACTTCTGAAAGACACCAACATGATTTTGTGATTTCTTTGGGCATTGAGTAGAAAGTCACTATTATAGTTACTGTAATGCCGATTTGACCTAAGTGTGCTGAATGATAGCCGGTTTTGTACCTATTTCTTTCTTCTATCAACGCGATAGAATTCTGATGGAAAATAATTTCCGGTGTAATTGGCTGATGTAATTACCATTTGGCTAAAAGTCTCCACAGATGAAAGGTTCGAGTATCAATAGTTTTGTAGTTACATAATACGTAAATATGTAACATATTCAAAGACATGATTCTCGAAAATGCTAGCATAACCATATGTTCCCTTTTGGCGTCTTATGTGTCTAAAAAATATCCTGTGGATGGATAAAAGAATCGTCAAAGTAGCTATCACATTTATAATCGATTTTCCAATATACACGGTGTCCGCAAAGTTGGGGTTTTCCTTTACACGACGTGTAGTTCTTGAAAACATAATCGATTTTTCTTAGTACCATACACACCAATGTCTTAAGGGAACCGAGATAAAGGACTCTGCAACATCAAAAATATCTGAATACCGTCCTGTAGCCGCGACCCGCGACATCACCGAGTGGTACAAGATCACTGGCTCAACCCGACGACAGAACTGGGTCGGGGTCAGTGTGTCAGGTCAGTATGCAACCTTCAACCGACAGTTACGGTCACGCGTGTAGAGGTAAACGAACCCGTATAATCGATTGCGATTCAAAAAAAAAATAATAATGGCACACTCATACACCAATAATGAACTCGTTGATATGTTGTTAATTTATGGCGAATGTCTTCAAAATGCTACAGAGGCTTCGCGAGTGTATGCAGATCGTTTTCCTAGACGACATCATCCAAGGCCCCGCAGAATTGTGTACCTGGTCCAGAGAGTCAGGGATACGGGCCATTTGGAGGAATTTCGAGGTGGGCACAGTGGGAGGCCTAGACAACCACGAATGGTGCAAGTTGAGGAAGAAATACTGAATCGCGTAGACGAGAATCCCTCAACAAGCACTAGAGACGTGGCTAGAGAAGTGCAAGTATCAAAAACTAAAGTGTGGCAAACGCTGCGTGAAGAGGGGCCGTATCCGTTTCACGTCCAACGTGTACAAGCCCTTCAACCTGACGATTTTCCAGCAAGAGTGCGGTTTTGTGAGTGGTTGTTGCATCAACATGACAATAATCCGGACTTTTTGAAGTGGATATTGGTGACAGACGAATCTACGTTCACGCGTAATGGGGTGAATAACTTTCGCAACACTCATGTTTGGTCAGTAGAAAATCCGAACGTTGTCCGTCGGGCACATTTTCAACAAACATTTTCGGTGTATGTTTGGGCTGGCATGGTGAACGGTATGCTCATTGGACCATTTATTCTCCCAAATCGACTGGACGGGATGCAATACCTAGACTTTTTACGCAACATTTTGCCTTCCTTGTTAGAAGATGTGCCATTAAGTGTAAGACAATCAATGCGGTTTCTGCACGATGGTGCACCGCCCCATTTTAGACGCGAAGTGCGTGAGTTTTTGAATGAATTATTTCCGAATAGGTGGATCGGACGTAATGGACCCGTAGCGTGGCCTCCGCGAGCTCCAGACTTAACACCATGTGATTTTTTTCTTTGGGGAGAAATGAAACGCTTAGTGTACTAAACTGAAGTGCATACGGTTGACGGACTTCGTCTCAGAATTGAACAAGCTGGTGCTTTCATTCGGGGGAGGGACTCCATTCTCAAAGCCTGCACCAATGCTTGACTACGTCGTGCACGCACCTGTGTTTTTGAATCAAACGGCGATAACTTCGAACAATACCTATAAAGTACGTCATATTTGTTACCTCTGTTCGTGGTCTGCACCACCGCCTGCGTCTGCTCGGTAGCGCATCAGCTGATTTCATTTTCTGTTGGAGCGGTATGATTTCGGGCAGAGACGTACTTAGCCCTTCTCGTCAACTGGAGAGTGAGTACTTTTTCCTTTATTTTTTTTTACTTGGTCGCCCTCGTTTCACTACACATTACCTTTGTTATTTCAAGGGTAGTTGTTTCTGAAAAGGACAACTCCAACTTTGCGGACACCCTGTATAAATATAGTCGCGCTGTATTTTTTCGCGAAACCATTTCTTTGAAAGTAAATCGGAAACCAATTATTATGAAGACTTTCCTTAAAATGGTATTAGCATAATGAAAATACGCCCAATTTTGGCGGACACCATTTTCCATGGATCTTGTGAAGGTTTGCGGAAGCTTGAAAACTATTAATACATACTCGAACCTCTCATTCATGGCGACTTTTGGTCAATAAAGGTAGCCAGACAATTGGACCGGAAATTGTTTTCCATATAAATTGTTATGATTTGATGCAATAAAGTTTAAATAATACGTCTGTAGTACGCGTAACATTCAGTAAATCAAAATCTTGTTGGTTTCTTTCTAAGCTCATAAATGGTTCTCAATTATTCGCAATGTTCTGATTCTAGAAACATAGGCTTATGGATATTTTCGATCATATTAGTATGGAGAACAACATACTTATAGGAAGTAGCAAATAATATCACCAGAAGCCATCTGCCATAGAGAATGATCCAGCTCTCCCTTGGTTTAAACAAAAATCAAACACTTAAGGAAAAGTGTTTCTATTGTGACGAGTTTCTCCTTCTCTTTTCAGGAACGGTGGATACAAATACAGACTTAGTATTAGTGAATGCTGCTTACTTCAAAGGCATGTGGGAGAACAGATTCAATCCGGATCTCACACAACAAGAGATCTTCTACGTGAGCCCATCAAAACAGATCACTGTTGATATGATGCACATGGAAGGAACTTTTAAGCATGGTAAGTTGCTAGAAGTGAAACTAAAAATTTTTGAGAAAAGGAGAGTGGGTAAAAATACATGCCATGTGGTATCCTAAGCAATACTATGTAATATGTCGCATGAAAGGTTTTTTAATGACGGAGAAGAAATTACTATTGCGATTATGGATTTTCTGAGAAACCTCTTTCGTTTATGCAAACCTACCATGAAAATCGGTATCAAAAAGTTCGTCTAAATCAACAGTACTCTACCGAACAAAAAGTTTGTTCTGGCGTACCACAGGGATCAGTCTTAGGACCCCTGTTATTTTCATTATATATCTCAGATTTAGAAACAGAGGTAAAATCATGCAGCATACAATTTTTTGCAAACGATAGTCAAATTTTCTATTCATTTAGGAGTAATGACTTGGAAACAGCAAATAATAAAATTAATCAAGATCTTGCCCAAATTGAAAAGTTCAGTAGTAGTTATAATCTTCGTTTGAACCCTTTAAAGACAAATATGTTGGTATACGCAAATAGAACAAAAAATACTTTAAAAAAGGACATACATTTAAAAGGTAATAAATTAGTTCCTGTGGATCATTCGAAGAACCTAGGTATTATAATGGATGAAGACTTAAAATTTGTTGTACACACAAACTATCCAATTTCTCAGTGCTACGCTATTATCAGAGTTTTATTTGCAAATAAGGCTATATTACATAAATCTGCGAGAAAGCAATTGTGTGAATCTTTCTTGTTTTCAAGCATATCGTATTACTTAGTGGGTTACTACCCCTATTTAGATATTATAACAAGAAGTCGTATTCAAAGTATTATGAATACATGTTGCAGACTTGTAAATGGTCTCAGAAAGTATGATCGTATCTCGAATGCCATTAATGAACTCAAATGGATGAAAATTGATAAAATGTATAAGTACCAGCTCCTAAATCTAACTCATAAGGTTCTTTATTCAAAAACACCGTCATATTTAGTAAACAAATTCATACGTAGAGGGAATATGCATCTCATTAATATTAGATATAGAGATACTTTTTCAATTCCACGCCACAGCACATCTCTATTTCAGAATACATATATTTACAATGCGATCAAATCCATTACCCAAATTCAAGAAAAAAGTGAAAGAAGTTCTGCTTGATCAGCAGCTAAATCTGTTGTAACCCATAAGTGACCTCATATTTTCGTTATGCCTTCACTTAGATTATACTTTATTCTGTCGTTATTGTATACAGGTATTAATTTTCAACACATTCTGTTTTTTCACATCTCGTATTGTTAAGGGGGTTAGATGGTAGAATAGATATATTATCTAAATCTCGCCTCCTGTAAGAATCTTACAAATAAAGGACGTTAATTATTATTATTATTATTATTTCTCGAGTTCCTTGTATGATCGGAATATTGTTAGCTAGACAGTCACCAATTTTTTGAGTGCTCATGTCACTGCCACTGAAATATTTACACGTTTAGAATCTACCAGTATATCTTGATAATATAAAACAATATAAAATACACATTTTTTGAAAAGCAGCTTCATTTTAGAAAGATACCTCCTATACCTTCAAATAAGAATCTCAAATTCATGATAGACCTTGGAGTTCATGAAACATTTCCAAAATATCTCAGTAACAAAAATCTCAGAGACTGCACCGATTAACCATCTCAACTTCCCAAACTACGAGGTGCACTCCAATCTGAGAAAGAACGGGGGAGTTGTGGCTTTTGTCCGCAGCAGTCTTTCCTCCTCCAGGGATCTTTCTTTGGAATCAGACCGGAAGGACATTCTGTGGCTTCGCCTCAACTCCAAAACATCACCCAAATATATTTACTGCCTTTATCGCTCTCCCTCGAACCATAACTGGGATGACCTACTCGAATACCTCGCCGTCCAGATCGACTTCCTGAACGTCAATCACCCCGCTTCAGAGGTAGCTCTTCTCGGTGATTTCAATGCCCATAATGAGCTTTGGTTTTGCTCAAATAAGACCGATGCAGCAGGTCGTGCAGTCGAAGCGTTCGCTCTTACTCAAGGGCTGACCCAGCTGGTGACGAGTCCTACTTTTTTCCCCCGCATCTCGTCACACGCCAGTAGCCTGCTGGATCTCTTTCTGACCACGCATCCTGCCCCTTACAGCACTGCTGTCCTGTCCCCCCTGGGTAACTCAGATCACGGTGTTGTGGAGGTTAGGTTTCGGTCAGAAGCCGCTGTGGCAGCAGAAACTCGCACAGGCCGCAAAACTTGGCATTACGGACATGCCGACTGGGAGGGGCTCAGAGACTTCTTCTCTAGCTTTCCTTGGAGAGATGTCTGTTTCACTGACGCGGATGCGTCGACTGTCTGTTCTTCAATAACCGAAATTATCCACGTCGAAATGGAGGAATACATCCCTCACACAGTGAAAGTTCCTAAACCAGGGCCCAACGGCTGGTTCAACAAATCGTGTGACACTGCTCGCCAGCAGAAGATCAAGGCCCACAGAACCTACCTACAAAACCCCACTGTAGAGAACAGACAAGCCGACGTCGCCTCCAGAAACAAATATAACGAAGCGGTACGCAATGCCAAAAACCAGCATGATATAAAAGTTAGGCACAGGGTAATGTCGCAGCGCAATGGCAGTCGGTCTTTCTGGACGATGGCCAAGCAGATTGAAAAGAACTTCTCACACAGTAGCCTTCCACCACTTACGTGTCAGGATGGAACTATTGTATTCGACTCAAAGGCCAAGGCGGAAGTGCTAGCCAAGATCTTTGCTGCCAACTCCACCATGGACGTCCCCACCAACGCCCAAGTGCCGTCAATTCAAAGGGTTCCCCACACTATGCGGGAGGTAACATTCAGGCATAAGACCGTAAGACGAGTGCTCTTGTCGCTCGACATCAACAAAGCTTCTGGTCCGGACTTGATTCCTGCCATTGTACTGAAGAGATGTGCAGCGGAGCTTGCTCCAGTTCTTTCGCGTCTCTTCCAGATATCTTATGAATCCGGCACCTTCCCTGAAAACTGGAAATTTTCTCATGTACAGCCCATCCCAAAAAAAGGATCTAAAACCGACCCTTACAACTACAGGCCTATAGCTCTGCTTTCTGTTATAAGTAAAGTGATGGAGAGGTGCATAAATCGCGAGCTTCTAGACTACCTCGAACGTCACAGCTTGATTAGCGACAGGCAGTACGGTTTCCGGCACCAACGATCCACAGGGGACCTCCTAGCTTACGTCACGCAACTGTGGAGTAAACTCATCCAGTCTCATGGTGAGGCTCATGTCGTTGCTCTTGACATCACGAAAGCGTTCGATCAGCTGTGGCACGCTGCCCTCTTAAGCAAACTTCCATCCTACGGCCTCCCAGAAAAGCTTTGCAGATGGGTGGCTGACTTTATCTCTGGCCGCAAGATATCCGTCGTAATTGACGGATTCTCCTCTTCATCCCACAACGTCAACGCGGGTTCAATGCTTCCAAAACACAGTACTGTACTTTGACGAACAAAAAACGTCCTAGCGCTCATACAGTTTCGATGGACGGTCGAGTTCTACCAAAGAGCCATTCATTTCGGCTGGTCGGAGTCCAGATCACCGAGGAACTGATCTGGCACGAACCCATCTCTTCAATATCTGCAGCTGCTGGGAAAAAGCTAGGCTATTTGTTTAGGGCTAAGAAGTACTTTTCTCCGCATGACCTTCTCACTCTATACAAGGCCCAGATAAGGCCTAGCCTCGAGTATTGCTCACACATTTGGGGTGCTGCCGCCCCGACTACATTGTCCATGCTCGATGCTGTCCAGAGGAGGGCGGTCCGACTGATCGATGACTCTTCTCTAACAGACAGTCTCGGGACTCTTTCGCACCGGCGGGCCGTCGGCGATCTAGCTCTTTTCTATCGCTACACCAACGGGCTTTGCTCCTCAGAGCTCTCTTTCATGATGCCGCCGCGCGATGTGCCTGCCAGACAGACCCGCCTGACGTCGGCGTCCCATCCTAACCGTGTCAAACTTCGTACATCCAGAACTGGCCGATACGACCGCTCCTTTGTTCCGAGGGTGTCTAGATTGTGGAACAATCTACGGGAGGAAGCTTTTCCCAGTTCTACTAACCTTAGGCAGTTCAAAAATCGTATTAACAAAATTTCTTTGGGATCATCATAGCAGCCGCGGTGTTCCGGCATTTAGGCTTTGGCCTGCGCGGCTGTTTCGATATAAAAAAAAAAAAAATCAGAAAACACCCCCTGGAAAGGTATATTCAAATTTCATTAAAAATTAGTCGGGTCCTACGACGGTGTACTATCAATTGATAAAATTAGTATATGGTTCAGATTTTTGGGGTATTTGATAAAAAACTATTTCTTGGAATATTATGTATATATGGTATTTTGGAAATGAGACATTTTTTGATATATCTTCATATAAAGTTTTTTTCTTAAAGTACGAATATTTTTTCGCAGTTTTTGTTTGGGTAAAAAATTTTCCACTTTGAAAGAATGAGCATTTTGTATTGATAAAATAATTAAATTACTATACATGACAGGCTAATGCAATCAATGTCCTCTAGTTGTTGACAACAATTGGCATTTCATACGTTTTGGATTGAGGGTTCCCTATAAAGTGTATATTTTTTTTAAGTTGAAAATTATTCCTATCGATTTCACTTCACACGTCAATTGGTGGGCAAGTATTGTAATCGCAAAAGAAATCGACAATTAGATATAATGTTTTTTTTTGATGTTACATGACATCTACATCACGAAAAACCATGTCACTCATTTCCGTCAGTCTGTCTATCAGTCTTTCTGTCTGTTCGCTATTCCTTTATCTCTGTATAACTCGAAAACGGCAGCTTAAATTTTGATGGAATTTTGACATAATTGCAACAAAAAAAGTTTGCAGATTTTGAAAACCGATTCAGTGGAGAAGCTAAGAGCAAAACATGGAGAGTCATTTTTATGATTTTTTGACAGGTTTGAAAATTTGGTTTGGTATTTGCAGGAGGCGTTAGCCAAAGTCAAAAAAATAACTTGTTTCCTCCTACTCAATCAGGATTTCGTGCGGGACATAGCACTACTTCAGCATTGCTCCATCTAACTGACAACATCGTAGGTAACTTATAGTGTACAGACATATTAATACCATATTAGTGATGATTGATTTCTCAAAAGCCGTTGATACAGTTAATCACAAAATCATGTTGAGCAAGCTACATTGGACTATCTGATATTCCGCTAAGATTTTTCCAAAGCTACATGGCTGCAAGAAAACAGGTAGTTAAGACGGTTAGGGGCGTCTCTTCTAGTACTGTGGTTTCGTCTGGTGTTCCGCAGGGGTCAGTTCTGGGACCTCTTTAACTTACACTATAGACTTAGAATCATGTGTGGAATTTTGTTCTATACAAACGTATGCTGATGATGCACAATTATCATTTCACTTCAAATATTCTCAGTTAAATGAAGTGTCGTTTAAAATTAATACTGACCTAATCAATATTACGGATTTTTGTGAAAAGCACTGTCTCAGGATCAATCCTGAAAAGAGTTCAAGTATGCTTTTTCCTCCGAAACACATAAAGGACGCAATTGTACTCATTATAAATAACGAGCGCATCCCCATGGTAGAACATTCTAAAAACCTGAGTGTTATCTTGGACACTAACTTGAAGTTTGATAGACATATCGGTTACCTGTGTCAAAAAGCGTATGCCAAATTAAAACTTTTATACTCCAACCGGATCATTTTAAACTTTAAAACTAGGAAAAAAATAGTTGAAAGCTTGATCCTGTCATCTTTGCAACAGTCTCTGATTTTATTCTATAATTATTTGGATTCGTCGGATCGGTATAGGTTACAAAAAATTCAAAACGGCTGCTGCAGGTTTGTGTTTGGACTTCGTAACTATAGTCATGTCTCTGCGAAGATTAAAGATTTAGTTAAAGATGCAATCATAGTTTGTTCATGCTATGAAGGTGTTTGTCCATAAAGTAGTTCGCACAAAAAAGCCACCGTACATTTTAGAAAAGCTAGTACCAAGAGGTAACATGAATCAGAGAAATCTCAGGCACAACAACAACATTCCATGCTGTCAAGTTACACAACTCTACAGATAAAATGTGTCGCAGTAAAACAATAGTACCCTTCAGGAGTCTCGTTAAGAAACAGCTGATGGGATATTAATAGTTCAAGTGTGCATTTGTTAAATTTTTTTTTTCATATTTTTTCATATTACTCTGTTGACTCGCGTGTGCGTGTTGTCAACACGTTATCTATTCAATTCATTTACTGACATTTCTTTTTCTCCTTATTATTATTACTGTTATTTGTTTGTGTATCGAGTTTAACTATGTTACTCTTTCGCACACAGTGAGGTTAAGTGTAAGAGTAGCCATTTGGCTAAACTTCGCCACACTGATGTATGTGTATTAATAAAGACATTTATTATTATCATTATATGTGACAATCAAACATATTCGTACACTACTAACCCCGTTGATTATTCGCACCTATGAGACATATTTCACTCATAGATTTCTATGTATATTTACCCATTAGTCTTCAAATGATTGAAATATATTCAATACACGCGTCGAGCGCAACAAAAACAGGTGATAAACCTGTAGCAGGGTAGGGGCTGGATGCTTACTCTTCGCAATTTTAGCTGCATAGCTGCCGATGCTTGTCAAATGGATGATGACTGCTTATCTAAACCTATTTGACTGGCTTGATCTATTTAACTCCTTTGTTATACATGTGCGTAGTTATCTTTTTTCTTAAAGGCCGAACACAAACTTTTAGGAAACTGATGATATCAGTGGGTGGGAAGTGGGGAGTCAACCTACTTGATGTCATTTTAATTTCTGTTTATGTGACGAATAAATTTATACTCACGTATCAACTTTCTTATAACTTAGATTTGAAACTATGGCTATGAGGTCCAGCTTCGATATTATCGCTCACACTTTTTACTGTTTCCGTGACATGTGTTGGTAAAACTTATGTTCTTTTTCAGATGTGTCCGAAGCTCTTGGTGCTCATATCCTAGAACTTCCTTACAAAGGAGACAACATAAGCATGTTCATCCTACTACCACCTTTCTCAAATACTGAAAGCTCTATTGATTTGAAACTATGGCTATGAGGTCCAGCTTCCATATTATCGCTCACACTTTTTACTGTTTCCGTGACATGTGTTGGTAAAACTGATGTTCTTTTTCAGATGTGTCCGAAGCTCTTGGTGCTCATATCCTAGAACTTCCTTACAAAGGAGACAACATAAGCATGTTCATCCTACTACCACCTTTCTCGAATACTGAAAGCTCAATTGACACGACGTTGAAGAGTTTGAACTTGGATACGTTCAGGAGTGTGGTGGAGAACGAGAATTTGATCTCCAAGAAAGTACAAGTTGCTCTACCGAAGTTCAGCCTGGAGACTACTATAGAACTGACGCCGGTAAGTCACTAAAACTCAGCTTTGCAGAACAGTGTAAGGTACAAATTTAGGATCACAAAATTTCAAAACACAAGAAATCAAATTAAGAAATGCTACATATTTTAGGAAAATGAAGCATATAAGTTTGAATTTCATTTTTTGAAGATTACGTCATCCAGATGGGACCTCTCATTGCATTTTGCAAAACACGTTGAAGCATAGCAAGTACACTTTCGCTTATGTCTTGAGGAATAGCTTCTTTCAGGTTAATAATATTTCACGGAGTATTGACGTAAACTTTTCAGTTGGGATAAGCCGTAAGAAGATTCAATGGGCTTAGCGAATAGTCGAGCCATTTTATTTGAAAATCCGAGAAGAGAAACGATAAGAGATGCATTTGGCAAGATATTTTATACAGGATGCAACTTAATGATACTCCGTAATTATGGCGCATTCCTGAACCAAATTTGAGTAGAAAAGTTACAAACATACAAACGCCTGTCACAAAATAGCCTGATTTTCGAAATTTTAAAAAAAATTGGTCTTTTATTAATATCTCAAAGTTCTGTCTGTCGAATATGTTGAATCTTGTCAGTATTGTTCATTGCAATAACCGAACCATAACTGAAAAATAATTATGAATTCCAGTGGCGTCTCGGGGGGCAGTCTCACAAACGATACCGACAAAGAATGTGTACACCACCGGCTTTTTTCAAAATGTGTATTTTCGGCTTAAGCTTAAGCTTAATGTATCTTCTGGTATCTCTCCATATCATACCTACTTTTCGAGGAAAAAAAAACTCATTGCAGGTCGAAAAATTATTAAAATATGATCAAATATATTTGACTTTTCGTGACAGTTTGAGATTATTTTCCTCTGTCAAAAACCTATTTTCTTAAATGTTTATATAAGCTATTCTTCTTGAATTTGGACCAGAAAAGCGACCTTGTAATTACAGCCTATCATTAAGTAATGCCCTGTTGCCAGGTTAGACAATATTCAGCCTACAGTTTATTTTAAGGGCCATATCGTCAGTTGTTCCTACAATCATAGAACACCTTTATGACCTCCTTGATTTTCATGATTTTTTCTGTCCATCAGAAAGGCAGTGGTCAGGGCTCTATCTTGAGGTTACGTGTTCTTTTTGAATTCCTATAAATTTCAGGCTGATAGAACTTGATTTTTATCATCCGTTTTATCAGTTTGAAATTTCTTAACGTTCAAAAAGAAAACATAACCTCATAATAGGAGAGCGCAGACGCTGACACGGAGCAATAAAGGCGACCTACAATTGTAGGAAGGACTGACGATATGGCCCTAAGGACATGGTTTACGGAGTATCGTTGATTTGGTCGCAGAGTAGGCAAAAATGGACCTGTTATGCATCAGCGCGAGCATAAGGCGTCATGATCAGATTTCATGGCTGCATGCAACGAAGTGAATGACACAACATGACGTAAACTTGAAAAAAATCATTAACATCGTGCAATTAATTTTGCATCAAATTATATACTACTCTGAACATCGCAATCATAATCGAAAATGTCTATATATATCATGCTGAGTGGAAGATATATAAGGAAAGTGTTATCCTATTCATTCAACTGTTTAATTTTGGATAAAACCAAGTGGTACGTAATATTTCATTGCAAAATGATTGCTTTTTTATTATCATTCCTATAACTCAGATATTCCCTAGACACATCATTAAACTCCCGATCTTCAAGTGAATCTCAGTTTTTTGAACGGTATAGATCCTACCATGATACAGACATAATAGTAGTACCTACCTAAAGTAGAGAATATAAAATAGCAGTTATAACTTCAACAGCTGCATTATCCAGAATGTTGTCACCTCTTCTAATGCTGCGCATCTCATCTACATAGCTCAGAATATAAAAAAAAACATATAGAAGAATGGGTAAAACTTTTGAACGACTTTCATCTGACATCTCATTCAAGGTATATTCACTTACTTTGGGTTGTTCACCCCTAACAGCTGATTGGATTTCCGTTAAACATGGTTAAGAATCATCTAGAAATTTAGGGTCGTATCGCCTTTATGGCCTCCTTGATTTTCATAGTTTTCTAATGTTCCTTGTCAGCACTCTATTTTGAGGTTATGTTACAAATACCTATTTGCATAAAATTGTCCATGCTTTTGATTTATATCAGCGTGAAATTACTTACAGTTCAAAAAGAAAACATAGCCTGACAGTAGGAGAGCTCTGACGCTGACACGGAACAGTAGAAATCTAGAAATACCCCAGACTTTCTGAAGGAGAGAAAATACTATGCAAATCAAGGAGGTCATAGAGGCGTCCTACAATTGTAAGAACGATTTACCATACCGCGCTTATTATTTCATACCGGACGTAAGCATTACAGCTAAGCAGCGTCTTTTTTGTATACTATATATAGCGATTTGATTATCTGGCCGTGTATTGCATCCTGCACGCCACACCTCTCTGACTAGATGCATATCCTCATCTAAATCACTTTTCCTCATGGCGATCTTGACTACGTGGATTTTGGTTGTCTATTTTCGTCCATTCTCATTGTACCAGACTATGTAATTGTTTTGATTGTATAGTCTCAATATCTATTTTCTTCCTTATCTCCTCATTAGGAATTCGGTCCATTAGAGTCAACCTATAACTTCTGAAAGACTCTATTGATTCTCCTTTTCATGCCTTCTTTTAGTAACCAAATACCTGCCCCGTATGTTACACAACTTTCTACCAGCGATTTGAACAGTTTTATTACTTCCTCGCAAGATAGCTGCTTTATTTAATTTATGAGAATCTTTTGGTGCAGAAACTGAAAATACTACACAGTTTCGCTAACCTGAGATGAGGATCCTGATATTGTTAGTGAAACACGCTAGTTTGACGAGTGGTGTATATGATTGTGTTCGTAGCTTCCCTTATTGTAGTCATTTATCTCGATGGCTATAAAATTGTAGTACACTCAGTTCAATAATTTATTTTATAAGCGCCTTCATAAATATTTACGTGGAACTGCTGATACCATAATGATCCATGTCTAATTGAAATGTGCACGTGTATAAAAATATCTCTAGCTCCAGGCAATAATCTTTCTCATAATTTCCATGCAAGGTCGCTGTTACAATTTGACTGACGGCACACATTGTAATTCCATTGGTGGTGATTTAGGATATTATCCTAAGCTTTCCTGCTATACTTCCTTTTTCTGCTATCAAATATTAGATAACAACGGAACTATTCGATTAATGTCTAATATACAGGGTGTCCGCAAAGTTGGGGTTTTCCTTTACACGACGTGTAGATCTTGAAAACATAACATTAACATTTTTCTTAGTACCATATACACCAATGTCTTAAGGGAACCGAGATAAAGGGCTCTGCAACATCAAAAATATCTGAATACCGTCCTGTAGCCGCGACCCGCGACATCACCGAGTGGTACAAGGTCACTGGCTCAACCCGACCACAGAACTGGGTCGGGGTCAGTGTGTCAGGTCAGTATGCAAGCTTCAACCGACGGTTACGGTCACGCGTGTAGAGGTAAACGAACCCGTATAATCGATTGCGTTTCAAAAAACAACAAGCACTAGAGACGTGGCTAGAGAAGTGCAAGTATCAAAAACTGAAGTGTGGCAAACGCTGCGTGAAGAGGGGCTGTATCCGTTTCACGTCCAACGTGTACAAGCCCTTCAACCTGACGATTTTCCAGCAAGAGTGCGGTTTTGTGAGTGGTTGTTGCATCAACATGACAATAATCCGGACTTTTTGAAGTGCATATTGGTGACAGACGAATCTACGTTCACGCGTAATGGGGTGAATAACTTTCGCAACACTCATGTTTAGTCAGTAGAAAATCCGCACGCTGTCCGTCGGGCAAATTTTCAACAAACATTTTCGGTGAATGTTTGGGCTGGCATGGTGAACGGTATGCTCATTGGACCATTTATTCTCCTAAATCGATTGGACGGGATGCAATACCTAGACTTTTTATGCAACATTTTGCCTTCCTTGTTAGAAGATGTGCCATTAAGTGTAAGACAATCAATGTGGTTTCTGCACGATGGTGCACCGCCCCATTTTAGACGCGAAGTGCGTGAGTTTTTGAATGAATTATTTCCGAATAGGTGGATCGGACGTATTGGAAACGTAGCGTGGCCTCCGCGATCTCCAGACTTAACACCATGTGATTTTTTTCTTTGCGGAGAAATGAAACGCTTAGTGTACAAAACTGAAGTGCATACGGTTGACGAACTTCGTCTCAGAATTGAACAAGCTGGTGCTTTCATTCGGGGGAGGGAATCCATTCTCAAAGCCTACACCGATGCTTGGCTACGTCGTGCACGCACCTGTGTTTTTGAATCAAACGGCGATAACTTCGAACAATACCTATAAAGTACGTTTACCTAAAAACTGAAAACGCGGCAACGCCGTCATATTTGTTACCTCTGTTCGTGGTCTGCACCACCGCCGGCGTGTGCTCGGTAGCGCATCAACTGATTTCATTTTCTGTTGGAGCGGTATGATTTCGGGCAGAGACGTACTTAGCCCTTGTCGTCAACTGGAGAGTGAGTACTTTTTCCTTTATTTTTTTTTACTTGTTCGCCCTCGTTTCACTACACATTACCTTTGTTATTTCAAGGGTAGTTGTTTCTGAAAAGGAAAACCCCAACTTTGCGGACAACCTGTATTGTGTTGTATGCCGAATACCTAGCATTTTAGTACACTTTTCTTTGACAGAAATTATACTTTGTATTTCCATTATCAGCTTTTACCTACTGCAAAAAAAGTTGGACCCAATCCTCGCAGCTCTTAGATACAAGTCTGACTGTGAACTTTAGGTAATGCACCTGACAAAAATTGACATACTGCTCCAATTAGAATGGGTACAACTGAGGGCACGACTCATTACGTTAAAAACCGGACGCTTTCGACTTCTTGTTCCATTTTTGTGCCTTATTGATGGACATGTCTTTTGTCCAGCCATTTACATGACTAAATTTGTACGTCAAATG